CCATATGCGATCAGCTGACTTTTCTACTGAAAAATCGTTGGAAAATAAAATTTTTCCTAGTAAAATTTACAATTTCTATGAACATTGGGTATGCGCCAATTTTTGGCAATTGTATTTCAACTATCCGAAATCTGCGCACAGATTAGAATTGCGATGACATATAGGTATGACTATTTTCGTGCGTAAGCGTTAAGCATATAAACTATAAACTCACGACTTCCATATTCCGGTTTGGTTGCTGCCGTTTAGCAAACATGGTCAGTGGGCATAATTGAATCGGGTTCTCATACTTGACCGTTTACGTTTTTACTTTATAGTTGGTCATATTGATTTATTGCTTTTTTAACATTTTCACACGGCGATAAACCATCTCAGTTCAAATTCCTTAAAATTGGTCCTGTTTTATAGATAACTCTTATGTATGTATGTAGGTACGTACATAAGCGTGATCATTTGCTACAATTCTCGCTGGGAAGGAGATATAATTTAAATTACATACGTATACATATGTATGCACATATATGTATGCAAAATTATTGGTTACTATTATAACATATTTTGATAATTTTCTAATAATCTTATAAAACAAATCAGTATAAGAGTATTCGCCCATATCAAATGGGTTCTTGTATTATTGATTTTATATCCGCTTTGAGACTCTTGTGTAATGTCTGAAATTGTTTGTATAAAATTACCATATTTACACACATGCACAATTTGTTTTTCTAATTATGCCTCAACAAATTATTTATCTAACTGAGCTTTCCTTAAGTCTGCCTTTACTTAAAACTTGGAAGCAATTTAATTACGAAATCAAACAAAAAGTAAACGGGTCGTTGTCGTACTACCATTTGGAAACATATTTCCATTAGTCAGCAGGCTGTTTGCAGCAACTGTATTTACATTAGGATACTGTTTTTCACCACGTTTACTAGTGAAACCATTTACGCTGCTCGTAACTGCCCCTTGATAGTAGGGATCCAGATTTCCGTTAAGTGGCTCGTATTTAATACGATGGTTTTGTGTTAGAGGTAATACCGTGTCTGACGCTCTAGACCAGTGTCCGCCAAAAAGAGAAGTCTTAAAATGAGAATGTATTAGTTATGAAATAAAAAATGAGAATGTGTTGGTGGTAATGCACGGAAATGCGTCATCAACCTGCTTCGCCTATTGTTTGCATGCAACTAAATAAAATGTGTTGCTCTGCTACTCTTTCTGTTGACGTTCGGATTGTGTACGTATAAGAAGCCGATTGTGTACATGTGAAAAGCCGAATATAGTTCGTTTCCCAGGAAAGTGTTTGGCGGTCACTGCTCTAGACACCTGTTCGGCCCGGTTATAGCATAACACGCCGAATATGGCCAAAGTCTTGCCGACGCAGTTTAACCACGTCACAGGACTCCCTAAAATTAACAGTGATACAGCTATCACAAAAATTCTTTTTGATGCGCTGGCAACCGCATAAGTCAGGGGTGAGACCAACGAAAGTACCATCTTGCCAATAAAATTGTTGCTAGAGGATATCAGACACCAGATAATGCATAGGACTATAACCGCCACGACATGTCTGGATGAGGCGCTTCTTAATCCAGTGCGCATTTTTGTTTGCTGCACTACTTAATCACTCCCGCAACCCAGTATTCCAATGATATTCAAACACTTTTTAGCACATCTCCCTGCATTAAATATGAAATACGGGAAGCACAAACTGAATTTCGGTAGATTGTTTTAACAGCTGATTTATTTTCATTTTAATAATTGCACTAATTTTTATTTACTTCGTCGGTGAGTGAAATTTTTGCAAATCTAAATTACGTCAACCGACAGACATACTAGGGTACTAATTGTTTTGGAACATAAGAGATCTAGCATTGCTCATCGCCGCAACATATTAACTATTCTGCAGTACAGCAGAAATGAGCACCTACAGTTTTTACCATTTCTTAAGATAATAAAATAAAAAAAATATTGCGCCAGACTTAATACAGTGCAAGACTTATTAATATTAGATATTACTGAGGAGTTTGTATGCGTGCTGGTAAAATACACGCGGAACCTCTTAAGAATTTAGGCTACGAGCGAAGTGAGTTAATTTAATACTCATTATGATTTAAGCTACTTGAAAAAAGTTAATTTCTGAGTTGCTTGAGTTGCTGCATGTTTTTTTACGCTAGTTTACTTGTGTGTCCAGCTTTTTGCATCAGTATTATGTTTATGAGTTATGTATTATATTGCAGTAATAAAAATGTGCTTGTGCCTCTCATACATCACCATCATAATCACCATCAAAGAAAATCACAGATTTGCTACTACGATATAAGACAGCATTGCGCTGTGGCATTTCCGCTAACATCCAGCCTCGACGTTTTACTGTTTCTATTGTCACCACTCCAAGAGGCCAGTACATCCCGCACATCGTCCATTTCATCATCGGATGAGGAATGCGATAGTTCATTGTAGCCGCTAATCTGAAATTTAATAAAAATAGAAAATTATTAATGCAGTACTTGAAATTACTACTGCTATACTATACTTACCGCATGGAAAATCCAGAATGACTTTTCAGCCATTCAGGAAGTCATAGCACTGCCAAATTTTGACATACGATATTTGCTCAAAGATTGGCATACGTGATTCTGCCAATGCGACCCTTCATAAATGTACTGAAGGCGGCGCCACCTGGTTGACAGCTATACAACCTTGTAAGAAACGGCAAAAAATAAATATTTTTTTTTTGAATTATGTGCTATCTTCCGGATTAAGCCCAGTCTAGAACCCATATTTTAAAAATCTCTTTCGCGGTGCCAGTTCAAGTAGTGAAACTCACCACAAAACCACAAATGGCACATTTTACGATGGCTGAATTTCTTTATTCATTCTGAACGTTTGGAATAAACTTTTTTGTTTACTTATTCTTTAGAACGATATGTTAACGATATTTCAAAAGCATTCTCTTTATTCCGGCTGTGAAATGGGATTATCCGGAATGTATAAAGAAACGCAGCCGATATTGGAGATTTCAAGGTATGTTCGAGGAAACAAGGATCCGACAATTCGCACTACTTTCAAAGATCTGTTCGTTGCCAAAGAAAACTGCAACAAAAATACTTCAATAAAATTTCGAATCGTTGGGCACCTTCCACCAAATTATTAATGTACTAAAGTAAACTGTCAATCCACCACCTGATTAAGCAGTAACTTAAATAATACAAGGTTCACACGTTAAAAGGATCAATCACATAATATCATGTATGTATATACACCTACAACTTTTTGCGTATAACTTCTTCTAACGTATTGGTCCACGATACGGAAGCATAGCATCAGCCACTTGCCACCCAACTATGAGAAAAAATTCAAGGTCAAATAAAATAATAGCCAAATTGCAGCATGACTCGTTTCACCGTGAATCGCACAAAGACGGAAGACCGTGCCGAAAAGTTTTCGATTCCATGCCGATTATGCGACGAAAACCATGGAATTCGACTCTGTCCCCACTATCGTGGCAAAACTGTTGAAGAAAGGCTGCGGGCGGTCCTAATCTACCGATATTGTCCCAATTGCTTGTCGCCCTTTCATCGCCTGGAAATTTGCATTAGCAAGGACCGATGCCATAGATGCGACGAAAAGCATCATACTTCGCTCCATATAGAGGACGCCGGCGAGCGAATACACAATAATGCGATCGGGGACGGCGAAGGCTCGGACGGGGCGCTGTCCATTCACGTCACGGAGCAAACGAAATCGTGGGCGAGCCAAGTAGAAGAAGAGGAAGTGCTGCAACATGAGAGGCCCAGGGGGGACTCGGAAACCAGTCTTTGCCGATCGCACGGGCAGCGCGGCTCTGGAACGAGTTATTTCAGACTGCCTGCCCCGTTGCAAACAAAATGCGCGGGTGGCTCGGAAACACGTTCTTTCCGACCACCTTTTCAACGTAAAAGTGCAAACGGGGCGGCGCGGAAACCCGTTCTTTCCGCCCGCCTCGGCGCCAAGCACATCGGTATGCACCGTATCATCGACGACAGCAACAACAACAACCAGCTGAAAAAATGGCTCTTGCTATACCCGAAGGTTTCCGGACTGGTCGAGCTACCCATAATGCGATAGCAGCGCCCATATTGCGGGCATTCGAAGCTATAGCCCCGACTGCTATCGTCCGAATTGAATCTGGTGGACGACTTCACTTGGTTCGCGCGTTATGCGATCCTTGCACGCCGAATTCCATCATCGACGCGCAACTGGCACGCGAGCTCCAACTCGAACGCCGCAACAATGGCCGGAGCCGGACATGCGCTCTCGCGTTGCGTGGGAAATATGGGATCGCGGAACGGGTAACCACCCAAGCGGTCATCACCGCGCGATACAATCGCCTCTGTCCTGCCAGAAACATCGACCCAACAGTCGCCGCACCATTTCGTTTTATGCGATTAGCGGACCCCAATTTTTACCTGGCGACACCGATTCGGCTGACCCTAGGCGCCGACATATACGCGCGCATAATGTTGACCGATAACGCTCCGGTCACAACAGGCAGTTTACTGGCACAGGCGTCAATCTTCGGGCTCATTTTATCTGGGGCCCACCAAAACTGAACATATACACATATATAACTGTAAACAATGAAATATTTTCCAAAAATTTAATTTCACATTAAAGTGCAATGAATTGAACACCACGTCTTTTTAGAATAACCTTTTCTTTTCGTTGACAGAAGTCTAGGTGAAACCTTAGTCCGAATCTGGCGAACAAGGACCCTACATATATCGGATTTTAGTTTTAAATTTAATTTTAGTTTTAAGTTTTCACTTGCCTCATGTGGCATGGTAGTTGAGCCAGTAACTCTTCCGTAGGGGTTGCTTGCCGCAAGGGGGGCGGCATGTTTAGGCCACCAGCCTAAATATTCGGAAAGGCCCTAATG